TTATGTGTTTAGGGTTCTAAGCGTAGGACTACGGTATTAGAACTAGCATGTAAACATTTCGGAGTGATTTGGATAATTTAATTATCTATCGTGAATAAGGATCTAAATTCACCTTATTCGGTGTATAGATCAACAATGGCAAGAACAAGAAGCGGAGTTAGAAACGTGAACGAAAACAGGAATCAACCACCTGTAATTGAGCAAATACATGTTGTAGTAGCAGCACCTGAGCCAATGACAATGGCTGGTGTACAATTGATGATTCAGACGATGTTGGATCGTCAGATGGAAGAAACTAGACGTCTGCTTCAACAGAACCGTGAAGAACCTTCGATGCCGATTTTACAGCCCGAATTAAGTGAAGGGCAGTCGGAAGGAGGAAACTTCAGTGGGATTATTAGTCAAGCCAACCCACCGTTAGTTAGACATAACAACCAGGATGGAGGAAATGATGGAAGAGGATGCAAGTATAAAGATTTAATGGCATCCAAACCACCATGTCTATCCGAAAACCCGACGCCGGTAGAAGTTATAAACTGGATCTCCGAAATGGAGACAATGTTTGAAAGTTACGAATGCAGCAACAGGCAAAAGACCGCTCTTGCGATCCCTTTGTTAAAATCTGGAGTATTGAGCTGGTGGAAGCTATTAGCCGACTCGATTCCCAAGGGAGAAGCTAGCAAGATGTCTTGGGAAGACTTTGTGGAACAACTAAAACTGCAATACTGCTCAGAGCAGGACCTTCTGGAAATCAATAATGAGTTTCAGAATTTGAAGAAGGGAAAAATGAGCGTTACTGAATACGTTGCAAGTTTCACAGAAAAGATGAAGCTTATTCCATATCTAGTTCCAACTGAACTCTCTAAGGTCAATAAGTTTGCTCGTGGATTACCAGCGGACTTTGGTCCAATTGTTAAGCAAGCAACCACATTGAAAGTCGCCATCTGGGCTGCTAAGAATGTTGAGACTCGGATCAGGGAGAAGGGTCTGGAGAGGTCAGAGGTTGGTGAGAAGAGGACATTCGATGGACCTTCAGGGTCCAACAAGAAAAATAAATTCTCGAAATCCGGTTCGAGAGGAGGTGGAGGAGACGAAGCGAAATGGTGCCACAAATGCAAGAAGAAGCATCATGGGAAATGTGATGGGGAAGTCACATGCTTCAAATGTGGAAAGCCAGGGCACTATGCCAACGAATGCACCCTTACCAAGAAAGTTTGCTATGAGTGTGGTGAGGAGGGTCACATCTTGAGGGATTGTCCGAAAAAGAAGGAGGCAGCAAGACCCAATATTCCACCAAAGCCGAAGGCGAGAGCCTTCCAGATGACACTGGAAGTTGCCAAAGAAGAAGCTGATGTCGCTTCAGGTACCTTTCTCGTAAACGAATTGTCTGTCCAAATTTTGTTTGACTCGGGAGCCAACTACTTCTTTATTTCACATGAATTTGGTAGAAAACTATCTTTGCCTGTTGATAGACTAGATAATGCTTTATTAGTCGAAGTTGCTAGTGGAAAGTTTATATTTGTTAGCCATCGTATGAAAAACATCTTAATTGATTTGAATGGGAATAAGTTCCGCGAGGAATTATTGCCTATTGAGTTAAATGGTTTCGACATCGTGCTGGGAATGGATTGGCTTAGCGCCAATGATGCTGAAATACTGTGCAAGAAGAAGATTGTAAAAGTAAACCCGCCAGGGAAAGAGTCATTTATGGTGTATGGGGACAAACTCAGAGTGAATTCTGAGATCATTTCTCTAATGAAAGCAAGAAAGTGTTTGGCCAAAGGATGTACATCATATTTGGCATTCGTGATTGATGCAAAGAAGGAGAAAAAGGAGATGCAGAGCATTCCTGTCGTGTGTGATTATCCGGAAGTATTTCCCGAGGATCTTCCTAGATTACTGCCTGATCGACAAGTAGAATTTTATATTGACTTGTTACCAGGAACGACGCCAATAGCAAAAGCACCTTACCGATTAGCACCAACGGAGATGAAGGAGCTGATGATGCAACTTCAGGAGTTATTGGACAAAGGTTTCATTAGACCTAGTTCATCACCCTGGGGAGCTCCGGTGTTATTCGTAAAGAAAAAGGACGAGAGTATGAGGGTGTGCATTGATTACAGAGAGTTGAATAATGCAACGATAAAGAATAGATATTCATTGCCAAGGATTGATGACATGTTCCATCAACTACAAGGTTCAAGCTATTTCTCGAAGATCAATCTTAGGTCAGGATATCATCAGTTGAAGGTGATAGAGCATGATATCGAGAAGACTGCATTCAGAACACGATATGGACACTACGAGTTTTTGGTTATGTCGTTTGGACTAACCAATGCTCCAGCAACATTCATGGATTTAATGAACAGTGTTTGTAATCCGTTCCTTGATAAATCTGTGATAGTGTTCATAGATGACATTCTGATTTACTCAAAAAGCCAAGAGGAGCATGGCAGACACTTGCGAGAAGTGTTAGAAGTCTTGAAGAAGGAAAAGTTGTATGCTAAGTTCTCCAAATGTGATTTTTGGATTCGAGAAGTCCAATTCTTGGGTCACGTGGTCAACCAAGAAGGGATAATGGTTGATCTAGCAAATATTGAAGTTGTGATGAAGTGGGAACAACCGAAAAGTCCCACGGAGATCCGAAGCTTTTTGGGATTAGCTGGATATTACCGAAGGTTTATCCAAGGCTTTTCTTTGATCGCTACTCCATTAATAGTTTTGACTCACAAATGAGCTACATATGCTTGGAGTGATAAGCACAAAGAAGCATTCGAGTTGCTAAAGAAGAAGCTATGTGAAGCACCGATTCTTTCTCTACCCGATGGAGTTGAAGACTTCGTTGTCTATAGCGATGCATCTGGTGTTGGATTGGGTTGTGTTTTGACCCAAAGAGAAAAGGTGATAGCATATGCGTCTCGACAGCTGAAAGAGCATGAAAAGAACTACCCCACTCATGATCTGGAGTTGGCAGCGGTAGTTTTCGCTCTAAAGATATGGAGGCATTACCTCTATGGCACTAAGTGCAAACTTTTCACTGATCATAAGAGTCTCCAATATCTCTTTAATCAGAAAGAATTGAATATGAGGCAAAGACGCTGGCTAGAGTTACTTAAGGACTACGACTGTGAGATACTTTACCACCCCGATAAAGCCAATGTTGTTGCTGATGCTCTTAGTCGGAAAGTCAATCTTGAAAGAAAAAGGCCAAGATCGTTGAGAATAGAAGTTGTCTCGACAATTGTAGAGAGTATAAAGAAAACTCAAGAAGAAGCTTCAGAAAAGAATGACCGAAAGGAGGAACGTTTGGGCAAAACGTTAGTGTTCGGTACAAACAGTCACGGACTGAAGGTATTCCAAGATCGAATTTGGGTGCCTAAGTCAGGAGGAATAAGAGATCTTCTGATGGAAGAAGCTCACAAAACCATGTACTCGATACATCCCGGTAGCACTAAAATGTATAGAGACCTAAAGCCCTATTACTGGTGGCCGACGATGAAGCTCAATATTGCAAAGTATGTGTCCGAGTGTGTGACATGTGCGAGAGTTAAGGCACAACATCAAAAACCATATGGGAGTTTAGAACCTTTACCTGTACCGATGGGTAAGTGGGAAGACATTGCCATGGATTTTGTCACTAAACTGCCCAAAACAAAGAATGGTCACGACATGATTTGGGTGGTCGTTGATCGCTTCACTAAGAGTGCGCACTTCATAGCAACCAATGAGAAGTGGTCTATGGATAAGCTTGTGAATTCTTACGTGAAGGAAATTATGAGGCTTCACGGTGTGCCATTAACGATTGTATCAGATCGTGACAGCTGTTTCACCTCAACGTTTTGGAGAAGTCTACAAGAGGAATTGGGTACCAAGTTGTGTTTGAGTACAGCTTACCATCCACAGACTGATGGGCAGAGCGAACGAACGATACAAACGCTTGAAGATATGCTGAGAGCATGAACCCTGGAATTCCAAGGTAACTGGGATGAACATTTACCTTTGGTAGAATTTTCCTACAATAATAGTTTCCACTCGAGCATAAAGATGACACCTTATCAAGCTTTGTACGGACAGAGGTGTCGTACGCCGTCTTGTTGGCTTGAGGCTGGGGAAAAGCAGTTTATGGGGCCTGAGATAGTCCATCAAACTGCTGAAAAGCTGAAAATAATTAAGGAGAGAATGTTAGAAGCTCAGGATCGTCAAAAGAGCTATGCTGACAACAAGCGAAGACCGATGACTTTTGAAGTTGGAGATTCGGTTTTGCTTAAAGTCTCACCGTGGAAGGGACTTATAAGATTTGGTAAAAGAGGAAAGTTAAGTCCAAGGTTTATTAAATCGTTTAAAGTTCTTCAGAGGATTGGGAACCAAGCTTACAAGCTCGAATTACCCGAAGAACTGAATGGAATTCATAACACTTTCCATGTGTGTTATTTGAGGAAGTTCACGGGAGAAGTTCCCAACATAGTTCCAATTTCTGAGTTAAGAATTGATGAGAACAAAAGGTTAATTGAAGAACCAGAGGCAATCGTTGACCGAAAGACTAAGAAGTTACGACGCAAGATGGTCGAATTAGTGTTTTTCCGTTGGAAACATACGAATGGGCCAAATCTCACATGGGAGACGGAGAGTGACATGATGAGTCGCTATCCGCATTTGTTTGTTGATGTGTGATTCTGGAGACGGAATCATCCTAAGGGGGAGAGAATTGTAACGCCCATGTTTCTAGGCTAGGCATTAATGATGATGTAATAGTCTAGGTTAACCTTTGTAACTCGTTTTGAAATAATAAGAATGTATTATTTGAGTATTATGTGTTTATTGCTTAATTGTGTGATTTAAATGAATTAATGATAAAAATAAGCGATAAAATAAAATATTAGATAAGCCAGATAACTATGAAGGAAGTTGTAGTGGTCGTGGCAAGGTTTCCGAAAATATAAAGAATGTCGAAATCCGAGTTATAACGAAGAAGTTATGACATGTCGAAGTTTCGCGACAGAATCGGTACGACAATGCGTGACGTAAATAGTGAATTTACGATAGAGCAATATTTAGCCTTAGTAATCTAAACGAAATTCGTAGAATACGTTAAACCGAGAGCGTACATAAAAAGAATGTCTAAATCTGACTTCATATGAGGAAGTTATGATTTTTCGAAGTTTCGACTTAGAGGTATGCAGCCCAAAGTTCGAATATGAGATCGAGTCGGGTGAAGGAATTGCCCCATCTGTTAGTGTTTGCACAACCTATTGAAAATAAATGAACATGAAAAAGGAAAAAATCTCCACTTTTTTTAAAAAAATAATAACGTATATAATAAAAATATATAAAGGACCTGCATCAGAAGGATCTCGCTTCCAGCACGTGGATCTTGGATCTGAAATAATTTCAAGAAGCTGAGGTGATGCGCCAATCGTCCGAACCAATTTTGGTATTTGGACACAAATAGCCTTCACAAAAAGATGCTAAATTAGAAATAACCTACTTTGCTGCTTTTGACATATTCTTGTAAACAATCAACAGCCGACGAAAAAGAGAATGTTTCTGTAACTCAAAAAGATTTTGACCCTATTTGTTTTTTATCATTCAAAAAAGACAAAAATAGTTCAGGATAGCAAACATTCTCTAGAATTTCTCGTATATTCAACCCCATAGTTGATAATAGAACTAGAATAGATAGTTTTTGTTGCCTACTCACACGAACCCATATCGTTGTTTTTCTATCAATCTCTAATTCTAATCTTCCTCCCCAATCTGATATTATGGTGCCAGTATAGACGGAAATTCCATTATCGTTCAATTCTGACTGGTAATAAATACCGGGACTTTGCAATATTTGATTGATCACAATTCTATATATTTCATTTACTATAAAAGCAAATAATTAATATTTAAAAAAAAGAACTACAGTGATGATATAAATATTATCTTTAGTATACCTTTATATATGATATTTGTCAAAGGCACTCAACTGAATCCCATGGATAGTAACTCCGCCATTTTTTTCCAAAATCTAATGCACCTTCATTGTCCATTGAGGTGAAGTCTGAAGAAAGAGATAATAGTTATGACAGACTCTTTAACTCAATGGAAATGAAGGGTATTGTAGTTATGGCAGAACCAATAATGAACCTCAATAACAACATTAAGTGAAAACGTAAAAAAATTTAACATGTCTGATATGTAGTGATTCATGCTTTCAACATCGAATTACTCGGAAAACAAAATGATGAAATGTTAATATGATCGTCAAGCCTAGAAAAGGCTAAAATTCACTACCAAAACCCAAACTAAAAAATCCTCATATACGTGGTTAAACACATCATTGAATGAAAAAGAAAACCGAATTATTGGATCGTTAGGCTGTAAATTGCCTTCTAACAGTTAATAATTAAACTTCTTTTTTACTTTCTACTTTACTCTTACATTCACAATTCAATCCACAAGCTCATCGTTCTTTAACCAAAATCAAATATAATCAAACTTATAAAAAATGTAAATGAAATACTATGTCATATAAAAATCTCAAAAGCATGAGCATTGTAACACATGTCAACAAATAGCAATTTACTTTATCTTCTTTTATTACAAAAATGACATAAATAGCACTTTTGAAAAAAAAAAATTAGGTTGAAAAATTACCTCGCTCGCCAGGTTTGACCAAGACTCTTGAGTCAGCTGACAGTAATGGTTTGTTGGCTCCCACAGACGGAGAATATGTAAAAATCTGCAAGAATTTATTAAAATACAATGGTGAATTTTATGCTTTATCACTACATTTTGAAGTTTTTCTTGGGAACAATGAACTTGCCTTCTATTCCCACAAATATATGTTGAATACTCTAATTCATTTAGCACCAAATTGGTTTACCATCTGAACGAAATTATGGTCAATATAGAAGAAGAGAGTGTCACGGACAAAACTGTTGTAGGGCTCCATGACTATAGCTAGCACCTATAAAAAGGCCATTATGATCAAGAAACAAAAGATGGTATGATCATGATTTCAATTTTAGTATACCCAATTATGAAAAAGGGCATATCTTGAATTCTCAGTGTTTAATGGATCATTAAGTGAAAGTTCGGGTAGATGGTGAATCCGAGCTTTGACTTTTTTTCATGGTCAACAGACAAGCTTTCCATTAGGAATGATTCTAAAATAGAACCACTACCTCCACCAACAATATTGAGCAGACACAAGAAGCCTCTAATCTACATGGGTTTATTACAAACACACACACCACGTACTTCATAATCAAATTGACAGTTTTAGGGCATCTGAAATATGCAACATCGTATCTGTAACATTTTCAACCGGTTGGAACATGGTAGCAGTTAGACACATTTGTAAAAAGTAGAAAAGTGTTGAATAAATTGGTTAAAAGTGAAAATTTATTAAATACATTGATACAGATAATGAAACTTTGTTGCATAAATAAACATTTAACCCGTCACACATCATAAGATAAACAACACTTTATTGAATGAAATGAGAAAACAGTTAAACCGTGTTTAACTTTACTTGTTTGCCAAAAAATTTAACACCACTTGTTTGCCAAAAATTTTAACACCACGACATTCAATCCAAACAAACAAGTTTAGTTATAGATATTTCTCGAAGAATTATTTAATTCTGACTATACAATAGGGCATCTTTTGTATCAATTACTATAAAGAAGCAACAAAAAAAAAAAAAAAAAAAAAAAAAAAAAAAAAAAAAACTAAAGATGTTTCAATTGGTAAAACAATGCATAAGTACACAATCTTATCGCTTTCAAACATAGAAATGCACATCCAAACAACGCTTGGTATATCAATCTGTAAAATTGTGGCATTTATAGAAACGGGATGAAGTAACTCGCAATCAATACCTGGAACTCATGATCGGTAGTTAGGGCTTTAAAAGCTGATTCAAGCTCGGAGAGAGCGAACATTAGAGTTTTAGGAATATATTTCCCACCATACTTACCAAAACGGCCGAGCGAATCGGGGCGCTGAAGAGCCGAAAACTCATCCTAAACCACCGCTTTCTCCAGCTCCATTTGACCGGTTGATTGGTTAGCGAGGACACAAGAAACGGTAAACGATTTGGGCTAGCGGGAACCAAATTTGTTAAACCAAAGGGATAGTTGTGAGGGGTATGGATTGAGAAACGCCGAAGAGGACGAGCCGGAGAGGGTGGCGATGGGGACGAGCTGGAGAGGAAAAACACATAGGATCGATTCGATTTGGTTGATTGTGTTGAGAAGAAAACCTAGGAATGAAATGTAAGAAGGAAGTGCGAGTGCATATTTTCATCTAGGATAATGTCAACAAAACGATCTGAAGGTGGAGAACAAAGGGGTGAAATGTAATCAAGGGCGATTCTCTTTTAAAATTTATTGGAGATGGTAATACCTTATGTTTTAATCATTAATGTTTTTGTGGGACAGATTTTTGTTTAATGTGGGTTAATACCCATAATGATTTTATTTAAACCATAGCATTTTAAAATTTGAAAATTTTGGGGTGTTACAGTTTTAGTGAAGTTAGCACTGCTTTGCTAGAATACATGTCGACTTTGAGTCATTGTAATTCATTTTCTATGTTTGACGGATCAAAGTTGGTGAAACTAAGTGACTTGTACAAAATTGATTTTAATGTTTCGGAAAGGCTATATCTTGATGATCAACTTGAAACGCGTTATCACTATTTGATTGATGATGAGAGATTTGATAAATTGAAGGGCATTGCGGACCTTGCTCATTTGATGATGAAAATCGGGAAACATCATTCTTTTTCCTTTGGTTTATAGGTTATTAAAGTTGACTTTGGTTTACTCGTTGCAAATGCAACCGTTGAAATATGTTTTTCCACAATGAAGTTTTTGAAGACTGACTTGCATAATATAATAGGTGTTGATTTTATGAACAATGCTTTGAATTGCAATGTAAAAAAGAATCGTTTATGGATGTTAAGATTGAACGAGTGATGGAGCGCTTTCAAAAAATGAGTAAATGAAGATGCGAACTTTGAAATATAAGACTTTTGTAGTATTTTTTATTTATAAAAAAAATTGTAATTTAAAAATAATTATCTTGCTACCTTTTAGACTTGAGGGTGTATTCACACCTTACCACTCATTTTTTCTATGTCACGTCAGTTTTTCACTCACTCAATTTCCATTCACCAAAAGCCAGAAAATAATCACCTTTCACTTTCTCTCATTTTTTTTTAATTTTGAAAATATATTTTTTATTTTGTTTTTAAAAATATTATCCCAATAAAATACATAAAATAAAGCTAACCAATCACATGAGGAGAGAGAAAGCAAGATACCCTTCCTTACTCTTTCCCGTACTGTCTAAACTGCGTTTAGTATGTGGTGTTCCTGGGTGCGGTTCTTGTATCTTTCACCTTTCCCGCTGATACATCCTTCGGCCTTATCGCGATTTTTTTTATACCTTTTAAAGTTTTTGGCTCCACCTTTTACTTCTAGTCTTTTTAATAATATTTAATGTTTAGAACATGATTTCTTATTTTCTATTAGTAATTTATCCTTATTAGTTTTTAATTTTTATTAAAAAAAAAAATAGAAAGTGGTGTTTCAACTTTCAAGCTCATCCAGCCGAGAAAGGGTCATATGCGAACTTGCAGCTCTGTGATTCCCTTTTCCCCGCAGCATTCATATGCACCCTCAATTACCCGCTAAAAGGTCTTCAGTTTCAAACCGTAAACCCTTTCCATTTCGTGTGTAACCGAATCTTTAAGAATCTATGTATAGGGCTTTGCCCATAATGAATAAAGCAGAGTTATTTGTGTGTAAGACTTGAGTACTCCCAAAGTTTTATCTCTGTTGAAATTTTAAATTTCTGAATAGCAGAGTTCGAAGCGTCATCGACTATTCAAATCCATCTATTATCGAATCCATATCATCCAACGCAGCATTCAGGTTCGCCATCTTATCTATCATCATTTGATTTATTTTTTGCATTTCTTTTCCTTTAATGTAAATGTTTTGTGTGTAACTGACTCTTTGAGAGTCTATAAATAGGGCTTTTTCTGTAATGGATAAAGCAGAGTTATTTATGTATAAGACTTGAGTACTCTCAAAGTTTTATCTCTGTTGAAATTTTAGATTTCTAAATAGCAGAGTTCGAAGCATCATCGACTATTCAAATCCATATATTATCGAATCCGTATCATCTGTAACATCCCGGGTTTCAAGTACTTTCAAATTCATCCCTTGGTTTTAATTATGTCATTTTTGGTCCTTGGATTATAAAGATGTAGCCCTAAGAAGCCCTAGTGGCAAAATGGTAATTTTGGGAGCAGGAGTTGTACTATGGGCGTACATGTGGGTACGCTAGGCATACACATATGTACGTTGGGCGTACTACTGTCCGGGTGAAACCCTAATTTTTAGGGTTTGAAAAGTATTTAAACATCGTTATGGACCATTTAGCCTCACCCTTTCAGCCTCCAAGCCTTTATGTCGTCCTCGAAGAACCCTAATCCCATAAGTGAGTGTTTTGAGCTTAAAGTGTGTTATTTGTATTCTTAAAGGAGAAGGAAGTGTATCAAGGAGTCTAGAGAGGAAAACAAGCTTGTAGATCTTGGATCATCATCTTCTTGGGAAGCTCCATAAGGTAAAAAAGTTGTTACCTTTATGCTTGGTTTGCTTAGATCTCATCTTGGTAGCTTTATGATGTTCTTTTGTCCCTAAATGTCCCATTGTTGTGCATGCTTGGTGTTGGGAGTTTTGGGCTGTCCTTTCAGGCCCTAAGAAGGGTTCCAAGCCATAAAAATGAGATCCCTTTAACTAGCTTGGCTTTATGTTTCTTATGGAAGTTCTTAATGGATTAAGATTATATATTAAGGATTTTTTGGACGTCTACAGTCATAAAGTTGGAGACTTTATGACTCTAAGGTGCATTTGGACAACGGATATGAAAATTGGGCTTATGAAAATTGGGATATGAAAAAAGGTGCATTCGCCATCTTATATATCATTTGAATTATTTTTTGCATTTCTTTTCCTTTTGTTCGCATTCGTCTGCACCGTCAATTACCCGCTAAAAGGTCTTCAGTTTCAAACCATAAACCCTCTCCATCCCCCCCCCCCCCCCCCCCCCCCCCCCCCCCCCCCCCCTCTGCAGGGTTTTCTCTCAGCTCCCCTAATCTCTTTCAATCACGCCGGCTTCTTACCAAGAATCCCGGGTTTACCAGTCAATTTCACCTCGAAACTGCGGAAACACGAGTTTTAAGCGTTTTGGTTTGAGATCAGTGGGTGAGACAGCGGTGGACGAGTCTATGGATCAATCGGAGGTGCGACCCAATAGTTTAGGCGAGAAGAGACCGTTGGAGGATGGTGTCAAAAGCGATTTGTCTAACAAGAAGGCTAGATGTGGTGAGGTCCGACAGAGGGTTAATGTGAAGAAGGTGGCGGAGATAGTGCTTGTGTTGGCTACAATCGGGAAACTGAGAGCTGGTAGGAACCCTACGCCGGTGGAGATTAAGATGATGGCGGAGGCGATTGAGAAGTTGGCTGACGTTTGTAAAAAAATTGCGCCAAAATATGTTTTCCCTAAGGTCGCTTTTGGGACGATTATTGAAGATCTTGGTCTGAACGGATTGACGGAAACAAAATTAGGGATTCGTCCTCCAAAGTTGTCAATTTCTGAGAAATTACTACATACAAAACAAAAGGTGATGCTTTATTGTTTGCGAATTAATCAGTCATTACTGATTCTTTCGAATTTGTAGCTTATACTCTTTTCTTGTCATTGCATTCCGAATCAGATGGAAAAATATGAGGTGTTCCCATTACACTCTGCTACTTCACATGCTGTTGGAGCTTTTCCATCAAATAAAGCAGATCACCCACCCAATTCATCTTCAGGATTGCATCATCATTCAACAGTTCTTCAAGCTTCCCCAGTTTCAAATTCGACAACTTTACCATATCAATTGCCCACTTGCAGTCATCTTGGAAGGCATTCTACAGAGTCACCTATTCAAAGGGCTGGGAGACCACATCTCAGATCTGATGAAAATTTTAATTGTTAGTATAAACACTCAACACTATTAAAAATGATTATTACATTTTTCAGCAACATATGTTATTACAACTGATTATTTGATTCTGCTTACTCATTATCACATAATCACTTTCAAAATACACATCTAGATTCTAGACACCCTCAAAGAATACCAATCTTTAATACTACGTTTCTACTTTCTCTATTTTTAAGTTTTTTCATCCAAATTTTCCATCATTTGCAGATCATAGAGCACCAATTACCCACAAAGAAATTAGTAAATTTGTTGAGAAAATATTACAAGCACAGATAACAGAGCACCAGAAATGGACTCCTCCTTCAAGGGACTACATGAACAAGCCTTTAACTTGTCAAACTTGCAAAACTACAATTACCAAAGTGGATACAACACTCGTATGTGATGCGTGTGAAAAAGGTACCACTTAAAATGTCTACACTATATCCCAAAATCATTTTCAAGAGACAAGTGGCAAGATTGGCATTGTGTAAAATGTTCATCAATCACCAATGGGAAAGGGAAAACCTTTACCCACTAAATATGGTCCTGTCATTAGAAACATAAACACACCAAAAATGTCTTCCATCATCACAAAAGATCAAGAGACAGAAGCTTCAATCAATGGGACAACATGAATGTAACCCAAAGGGTAATATTGAGAAAACAAGTGAAAATTGTAATGATGTTGAATGGGTGGGGAGCGTGCTAAATGAAGGTGACATGCTAGAATATATCAAATCTTGTTCTTTTTCTCTTCTTTTAAGCAGGTAGCCAGCCTGATATGGCTTATTTTATTTTGAAGTTATTAAGCCTGATGTCATGTATTGTTTTTTTTTTTTGTTTTTTTCTAGGTTATATAGGTGGTTGTGGTTTACAAGCTAATTTGAATTGTTCTTTTTGGAAATCTAGTGATTTCGATAAATGATAGCACAGGTTAATAGTCGAATGTAAATACAAATGTGATCTTTAATTTAAGGTGGTAAATAGTACATATCATATGAATCAGATTTTGCAATAAGCCAGACATTTGATATTTGAGTTTGTTGTTGTCTTATCAACTACTCTACTAAAGAGTTAAGAATTCGATTCAAAGTATGCATGGTTATAACATAGTAATCTTGTTATAACATACAAAAACATTCTCTTAGCAACACAATTTGCATACATCATAAACCCACATGGAGCAGGAAACAATGTTTTTTTAACAAAAAAAAAAATCAAATCTAAACTTTCTACAGCATAAACTTGTCAGGTAGAACCTCTTCACAAAAGCAAAACAAACCGAATAAAACCAAAAGGTTGAAATCCAAATTCCAAACAGATTCTGATTCATGAATCATGAATGAATCAAACAGTAGCATTTGGATTAGTAAGCAATTCAAGAGACTTTTTAAGGTAATCTACAGCAACAAAAACATCATCAAATGCCAATGCTCCAACAGCAAACCTTGCCGCCTTATGTGCCTCTGCAATTTTATCAGCCGGAGGCTGATAACTGCTGCTGTCATACTCATACGCCGCCGCCTGTCCACCAGAGCTCCCTGCACCTCCATGTACTGGAACACCCCCATTTCCACCACTCACTTTGTACTGACCACCTGTAGCTGTAGCTGCTGCTGATGCATCAGAGCCTCCCTGATAGTATGATGAGGGGTAATGACCTGGGGCTACTGCTGGAAGGGCAGTTTCGGAAAAACTAGGGTAAGATTGGAAATTTGGGAATGTGTATGAAGGGTCATGTTGGTAATTTTGATGTTGGGGTTCTTGTGGGAGGTGGTGATAGTTCTGATGAGAATAAGTTGGATTTGAATTATCTCCTCCTGTGTTCTGGGAATGGAAATTGTTGGACGGATAGTCGTCGGAAGAGTAGGTGGGCGGCGGCGGTGGGGCGGTGGAAGATGGTGGAGGGAAATTTGATGGTGGTTGGATGGTTGAAGATGGTGGAGGAAAGTTTGAGGGCGGTGGTGGTGGTGGTTGGGTGTTTGAAGGTGGCGGCGGCGGCATAGTGGAATGTGGCGGTGGTGGAGGGTCACGTGGCGGTGATGCGAAAGTATTTGTGAACTTTTGGGAATCACTTCTGTCGTATAATTGGGATGAAGGATGAGATTCTGGTGCATGTCTGGTGGTTGGTTCCAAGTCCTGCCAACAATTGATTTTTTTTTCAGTAAAACATATAATGAGGGTATTTTGGTCATTCAGTTAAGAAAATGTAACAATGGAATTAAATTCCGTCCATGGAATGGAATCTGAAATTCCAATTCCTTCGGATATTGTCAGAATGACTTACATATCCACTGCCTGATGCATCCGAGAGATCTTTTTCACCACCAGGGGGGCCAGGTATAGGCTTCCTTCCTTCTTTAATAGCTTTCCTTATATCTGCTGCTTTCCATGCTGCATACTTCTGTTTCTGCTCAAGCTATTTAATAAACCAATTATGAGTTTATGATACATCAACATTTATTTCCTTTTTTTTGTTGTCATTCTCAATCATCAAGAATAAGGAAGCACTAAAAATGGCAATGGTGATAAACCGATGATAATAGAAACTTGACTCACATCAGGTTGGACTTCACCAAACTGGTTAAGGATTTCAAAGAAAATGCTTGCAGCATAAAATGTCTTTGCTGTATTTCTGCAACAAGTTTACAAATAAGTATTAGTATTCTAATCAAAATCAACATTAATTGCAGCATTTGTTTGCATCTATGTGTTATCTTGAAGCCTTATTGAGCACAAAATCTCATATGTAGTGTGTATAATCTTTAGTTTCTAACAGCAAACTAGTGTTAACATTGATGTATCATAATTCATAAGAAGAAAAAAAAATTCATACAGATCAGCTCTCCCAGCTCTATCTTGTTTATCAGCCTTTGCGAAAACATTTGAAGCAAATCCTTCAAGGTGAAGATGATCATCAGGCCCCAACTGCAATGACTTCTTATCCTGTAAATAAAGAAGCAAACTAGATGAAGGACACAGAAGATTTTGATACTCAGAGAATATTACTTCAATGTCTCAAGAACAAATTCATCTTAAACTTAATACAGCGTACAAAGTACATACTGACTATGCAAAATTAAGTCATCAACAACGAACTATCGACTTGAGAGATCCCTAGAATCAAGTCTTAAACCGTTAACTTCGAAAGAAATACGCGTATTAAAGAAGAATTCAGACCTTTTCAAGTTGTTTCATGAGGGAAACGAGTAGGGAACTAGTGGTTTTGGTACGTTCACTAGAAGGGATCTTTAAACCCCGTTCCATCGCATATAATCGACCTGAAAATCAAAATTTTCCCCAATAAACCACAATTTAATTACTGAAATCGAGAAGGTTGAGAGAATATTAGGGTTTAGAGTAAAATTGTGAGATGATGAAGAAGAATCCATACAGTAGTAGGCGACGAGAGGTTCGTGCTTTTGCAATTCATCGGCTCTTTGAAGGTAAGGCAACAGTAGCTTCGCTGGTTCGTTCTCATTCGCCATTTTTACGTTCAACGATCTCAATGGGAAGCGGACGACAAGGGTTTTGATCGATGTTGGAGTTGCTTACTCTACGCAATAACAAGATTGATGACCTCGACGCGTATCGCAAATTCGAAGTAATTTACGGTTGTAGTCCCCAGACTTAGTGAAAACCTACATACTAAGTCCTAAATGTTTTTTTTTTGTTTTTTTGCAAGTTTTAGGGGCTATTTGATATAAGGTTGACTGGGTCCGGTCAGCAATTTTGGACTGACTCGGTCTGGTGAGCCTGTTTCTTAAACTCATAAAAGGGCTGACTCGGTCAGCTGTGACTGACACAACAACTTACCCGACCCATTGATTGTTAGTAACTGACTTAAAAAATTGACTTATATGCCCTAAAGGAAAAAAAGCGACCCACACAACTTTTCTTCATTGCCGTGTTGTATGAACGAAATTTATTTGTATGTTTATGAACGATATTGGAGCCGGTTTTCAAAGAAACAGAGCTTTAACTAAGGAATAAAGGTTCAATCATGCTCATACACAACTTAGAAATGTTATAACGTGTTTATGGTGTATTGAAGGCGAAATTACCAATATTAAAACAAATGACTCCTTTTCCTTTTTCCAGGGCAAAGAGACATAGTCATTGTTTGTGTTGCGGTCCATAAATTTATAAGGAAATACAATATTCAAGATGACTTATTTACGAATTTTGAACATAACAATATGGTTACTCCCAAGGGCGGAGCTACATGGTGTCCCGAGGTGGCACGGGCAACCCCTCAAATTTTACTGTCAAATGCAAAATTTAATGTAAATTCATCAAAATCCATCACAAATTCATCACGAATCCGTTGGAAATTCGTCAAATTAAGTCCTAATAAGTGTAAATTTAATGTAAATATATCAATGTAACCCTTTTAATGACGGATTTTATGACGGAAATTGTCGGCGAAATGAGTTCTTTTATTAGTGCAATCCTTAAAAGAATTGTGCGCCCCTTGTACTTTTTTCTACGTCGGCCATTGGTTACTCCTGATATGCAAGGTGGAGGAAAGTGAGAGCCAAAACATACAAGCCATATAATATGGATCAGAACTCGTTGACTATGTGACTACTTTGCGTGACCATATTGCTAATTAATTAATTTCAAATGGTTAACGTTAAATTTATATGCAAATTAGTATGTAATTTTTTGATTTTGTACGACAGTTTGTATTTGGATTTTGTATAACAATTTATATTTGGATTTTAAATGATGTATGTTTAATTTGGATTTTATGTGACAGTTCGTATTTTATAATTATGTTATCCAACACATGAGATAATATAAGGGTAATATAGTTATTTTCATCATTCAACACAATCAGTCAGAGAAATAATCAAACATCATAAACTTAGTCAGATGTGGACTTAATCAGAATTTCTAACCCAGTCAACAATTATTAAATGAACCCTTAGTCAAAATTGCAATTCAAATCTTCATCTTTCTTCGACTCTTTTTATGATCAAAATAACAAAAGTTAAACTAATGTATAAGAACACTATTAATTAAATAATTTTGGGCTCTATTAACTACTAAACAAAACTTTTTATTTGATTTGTTTTAAATAATTTAATTGAAAAATATTAGAAAACAATAAGGGATTTTCAATAAATTAACTCAACAAGAGTAGTTTAGTAATGTTGTTTGTTCGGTTAGTTAGAATATGTTATTACAATTTTATATGTTTGATTAGTGATTCACACGAGATGTATATAGATGGTAGAAGATGTAATTAGTTCAATTCAATGAAACGATTTCACCTCTGTCATTTTGTTATCTCAGTAATATGCATGGTATCAGAGCACAATGCTCAAATTCCGCTTTAGTTCTTGAAGATTCGTCCGTGTTTTTGAAGTCAATCTTTAATTCTATGATCAACGATCATCTTCAGTTCTTAATTTCTAGTTCATGAATTGTGTCAATTTCGTTTTCTCTTCCCGAATCGTTTTTTCCGTTGCTCAAATCAACAATTTCTAAATTTCGATTTTGCTCATCTGATTTGATGACGTCAACTGGTGGTAATTATGGATTTTATCTGACTTGTTATACAATATCTTTGATGGATGATCCTCTACATCCATATTATCTTCAACCTTCTGACAGTCCAGTTTGCATTCTAGTTTCACAACCATTAATCGGTGAGAATTATTCTTATCGGAGTCAAGTAATGTTGATTGTTTTGTCTGTTAAAAATAAAGTTGGTTTTATCGATGGTACGGGCCTATACTACCTTCAACATCTATCCTCTGTTTTCAGTAGTACGGGCCCATACTACCTTCCACATCTATCCGTACTTTCCTCAAGAACTGCCTTGAGTCCACCAAGTCCTTTTCACTACTACTGCTCTCTACACTAATCTCATCCTAGGCTTGCCCTAGGGTAACCACCGACCCACTCTCCGTCATCAACTACATAAGAAGTCCCTGTTATCTCCCCCTAACTAGCTTGTGAATACCATTACATATCACTAAGACTAGATAATTCTTCGAATGAGAGGTCCTACCCTACAACGGTTGGACTCAAACAAGAGCTGTGAAATAGAGCTGAACCTAACCTTCTGAAATTACTTAGTCCTCATAATATGTAATTTAACATATTCGTTTGCTAGTTAGTTAAAGATAACTAGAACTCCTAAAAGCACAAAGCAAACAACATTCAAGCATTAAGTAAACATAATCAAGCATATTCTACTCATGCTCTCATATCACTGACTAATCAGTACTAGCATGCAGTTCATAAAGCTCATACACATATAACAGGCACATAAGGCATCATTCCTAAATCCTTAGCCCTAATCTAGCATGTAGTTCTCATAATCGTATCATAACATAAACTTGTATGGGTAATTTGGGTGTACTTACTTGAGCTCGGCTGATTGCATGCACCACACCTTTTTTCTCTTTCCAAAAATCCTTTTTGTAAAAATGGTTTTTCTTTTAAAAATTTTATACCAAGTCCTCAGTATGAGTTCAGACACACCCGAGAGTGTGCCCAAATCCCTCAAACCAAGGCTTTGATACCAACTTGAAACATCCTAAAAATACGGTCCAAAAATTTCATTTTCAATTCAATAACAAAACCATAGTTAACAATCCATCACATAAAATCACAAGTCATGTATCTCAAATATCAAAAACATCTATCAAACATATCAAAGTAAAAGCATCCCAGGCTGAATAAATGGTGTGTGCACTGCAGTCATCCCGAGGTCTTCCCTTTGCTACCGGTAGTACCTGAAACCAAAACTAAAAACTGTAAGCACAAAGCTTAGTGAGTCTCCCCAAACTACCACATATCATACACATAATCGTGCTACTAGGAGATACGGGCCCCACCCCTTACTCAAGGAGATACGGGCCCCGCCCACACTCCGCTAACTAGGAGATACGGGCCCCGCCTACATTCCACTGACTACGAGATACGGGCCCCGCCTACACTCGGCTAACTACGAGATACCCCGCCCACACCCGACTAACTATGAGATACGGTCCCTGCCCACACTCAGCTACTAAACATACATACAAGTATCACACAGACAACAAGTATAGCCAAATCTATCAAACAGTCCTATATACATACTCAAATAATGATATGAGATACGGGCCCCGCCTACACTCAGCTAATAATGAGAAACAGGCCCCACCCACACTCTATGAGATACGGTCCCCGCCCACACTCCGCTGACTATGAGATACGGGCCTCGCCTACACTCACATTCCTAACAACACATACAGGTATCACACAGACAACAAGTATAGCAATCCAACAATCTGACTGATGTCTATACTCAGGTAATAGTGAGATACGGGCCCCGCCCACACTCAATGTTCCTATCAGGAACATATAAACTACACGGGCCGACATTGGTGCCTTCAACCCATTCAAACTAGGTGGAAACTCACCTCGCACTGCTGAAGTCCCGCGGATAATTTTCTGGCTGTTGACCGACAAATCCCCGAACTGTCAATCGTCAAAACAAAACCCAATTAACAATTTAGGTTTCAATGCATCACCATAAATACACACTTTGGGGTAAAAGGACCATTTTACCCCTAACATAGCTTGGTCCAAGTCCAAGGCCCAACTCATACTCTAAAAGCCCAAAGATCAATTACTCAACCAAGGCCCAATATATGGCCCAATTTTCCAAATTGGGCCCAAACTTCTACATCGTCTTACCTTATGGCCCAACCATTTATTCTAGTCCAAACACTTGGCATTCCAATGGTCCAATATCTCATAATCATCAAGGCCCAAATACGGCCCATCTATGGCCCAATTTTCCAAATTGGGCCCAAGCCTTTCCAATAGGCCTTATCTTAAAGCCCAATCCAAATATTCTAGTCCATATATTTGTTCTTGGATGGCCCATCAATAGCCCAATCACCAAAGCCCAACTCAAGGCCCAACCAAAATTAGGGTTTCTAACATGAAATGACGATTAGGGTTAAGTGTGTCACACCCCCGAACCAGGACGGCGGAAACGTCCGGGGGCGGATGACGTCATTGTATAGTACCATAACAATTGAATATGAATGAAACATAACATTAAAAGTGACATACATTGAAAATACATACTTACATTGTTTACATATTGTACTTGTTCATCAGTTACACAAAAGTGACAAAAAGTAAAATTTCATAAGGTTGCACCACTTGACCTCATAGCAGAGCTGATTACCTGTTACTGGATCCCTGAGAATACAAGTCGTTTTGAAAAGCGTCAACTAAAAAGTTGGTGAGTTCATAAGCATTTTTGTATAAAAATGTTTTTTTCACTTGTTTAGAATAGTTCTCGTAGTACTTTCAGAAAATATGATATTTTCTATAAAAATGATTTGTAAGTCTCATTCCAAAACTGTGAATATATGCATGCAGGTCCTTTGTTATCTTTTGTTTGTAAAAGTAAAGTGAACATTTCCAGAAAATCCAATATTTTCTTATGTAAGAAAGACTGTAGTCTTAAACCCTAAGACCGGAAGTGTAAGAGACTAAATACTTGAAAAATGATTTGCAGCTTTATAGTTTAATAAAACCGATGAAGTGTAAGCTTCCCGTAAACCAAAATCGTAT